TTATACAGACGATTACCTCAACCATTATAGTGTTATTGCTGAGATTGCGAGTTTCCTCTTTCTCTGTACATAAAGGAGGTGGTGGCAGTGTGAAGGGTTAATTGGGTAATTAACCTGACCCAGTAACAAGCGCATTCAGGCTGCCGGTACATCGATTGGAGGTCAAGTGAGCTGGAAAATGTTGTGCAGGGTGCAGCTGGGTGTGGCATTGTTACGCACGTGACATCGCGGTTTCAGATTGACTAGTCCTTCGGTCACGAGTTTGGTGAGAAGGCCAGGGGTCTGACGCCGCGTTCGTCACAGGCATAGGTTGTTCAGTTTAGTGGGGTCCATCGAGGGTTTTTTTTTAAATAGAGGGGTAACTAGTGCATGTTTTAGAGAGTTGGGGAAGATGCCAGAAGAGAGGGAGAGATTGAAGATGTGAGTTAGAGAGGTTGAATGATGGAAGTAATTATTGTACCTGTGGACATGGAGTGTAAAGTGGGGGAGGTATCTGTACAGTGGGGATCTCAATGCGAATTGTTTCAATCTTATTTTTTAAGTGATTGGCGATTTCCTGGGCAGTGAGTGAGTTAGTGGGTGGAGACTGTTGAGGACAAAGTAGAGAGTTGAAAGTAGAGAAGAGTGGACGGGAATTGGATAAGAATTTGTTAAAGAGAGTTATAAAATAGGCTTGCTTGGCATTGTGGAGGCAGAAATTATATTTTTAGAGGGCATACTTATATTAGTGATATATTTCTGAAACTTAGTCATACATTACATGGCACTCAAGAGCATGGCTACCTTTTTAGGCATTGAAGTCATCAAGGAAGGTTGATACTGGTCCAGGGTAGAAGATCACAGCAATTCTTAAAGAAACTGGAAAAAATAGACAAATACAATGTGCCTTAAATGATTTGAGTGACAGAGGGGGAGGTGGGTAAAGTACCTGAAAGGTGCTATGTGGGAAGAGAAGGATTCCCACTCCACCTCCTTTCCATCCACTGGGTTTGGAGGAGTCCAGAGGTGGTCACCATAGGAGAGGAAAGCAGGAGAAGCAGTGTCAGATTCATAAAGCCAGGATTCAGTAATGGCAAGCAGATTAAAGGAATTAGTGATATAGAGGTCATGGAGATAGGTGAGTTTGTTAGACAGAGAGGGAATTACAAAGGGCACAAGAGAAGGGGAGGCTGGTGTTGGGAAGAAGAGGAATGGAAACTAAATTGTGTAGATTGCAGCTGCTTTCAGACGGCATGGTGTGATGGGAGCATTGGGTACAGTTAAATGATGGAGGCCCAAGGTTTGTGGATATATCTCCAGAGGTAAGAAGAAGCAGGAGGGTGATGGGGGTAATATGTGAGTGTGATTTATATAGAGGGACATGCCCCAGCGTTCTGGATGTTTTAATAGCATGCTACAGCGTGGTTGCGTCAGTCCAGGACACGCCCCTCTACGCGGCCCCACATGGACACAGCTGATCACAGGGTATGGTAATCGACCAATCACGGTGCAGCCTCATCAATGAACATCCGTGCAGGAGAAAAATTACCTGTTTGCAAAATTTTATAATATATACAAAGAAAAACTTTGTGAAAAATTTTTTTGCTCTTTTTTTGTTTAGAGCGCAAAAAATAAAACAGCCAGTGGCGATTAAATACTACCAAAAGAAAGCTCTATTTGTGTAAAAAAAAAACTTTACAAATTTCATATGGGTACAATGTTCACCGCGCAATTGACATTCAAAGTGCAACAGTGCTGAAAGCTGAAAATTGGCCTGGGCAGGAAGGGGGTATAAGTGCCCTGTAGGCAAGTGGTTAAAGAGAGATGACACAACTGTCAGAAAGAGTGGTAGAGAGTGCATGTTAAAGAAAGGGAGAGCTGAATGGAGAGAAAAAGTCCCCTGCAGTCAGTTTGGGATTTTTCAAAGTAGTTTGCTTTGTATTTTCGTTTCATGCCATAGCTAAGTGCAGAGCCGAATTGCACCCACATAAATTAAAAAAAACACTTATAGAAAGAATCCCAGCCATGTCCTTTCCCTATAAGGTGGTCTAGCTTTATACTGTTAAAGAAGAACTTCCAGGAAAATGTATACTTACTTGGGTAAACTTTCCTTTTTGTCTGGGGTATTGCAGAGCAACAATATACTTACCTAATCCGCCTATCCTCCGAGCGCAAGACCGGTCTCCACCGCTCCTGCAACAACCCCCTCTACCCCCCTGCAAGCTTGTGCATGGACTGTTCCTGACGACATCATGCCCATAAATCAGCTCTGGACGTGAGGACGGCAGAAACAGGCCACTGATGGACGTGGGGGAGAGCTGCTTTCCAGAGGATCAAAGGATCAGGTAGGTATAACTTTTCCTTGCGCCCCTAGACAAAACGAGCAGTTAACCCATGCAGTGCAGGCACAGCCTCCTGTATGGGAAAAGAAAAAATTTGCCCGGAGTTCTACATTAACCACTTCACAACCGCACTATAGCCGAATGATGGCTATAGCACAGTTGTCCAGTTCTGTGAGAGCGTCATATGATGTCCTCCCAGAATGGGGCCTCCCACGCACCTAGCGCTCTCCATGATTGCTGTGTTCTACAGACACAGCTGATCACATGATGAAGTAAAAGCCCAATCACAGCGGCCTTTTACCATGAGATCAGCTGTGTCCAATGACACAGCAGATCACTGAGTAAATACAGTTGCCAGTTATCGGCAGCACTTTCTTCATGCTGTCACAGTGCCACCCACCAGTGCCGTCTCATTAGTGCAGCCTATCAGTGCCCATCAGTGAAAGAAAAATTACCTGTTTGCAAAACTGTGTAATAGAAACAAAGAAAAACGTTTATTTCACATTTTTGCTATTTTTTTGTTTATAGTGCAAAAAATAAAACACTCCAGTGGTGATTAAAACCACCCAAAAGAAAGCTCTATTTGTGTAAAAAAAATTATAAAAGAGTGTTGCATGACTGTGCAATTGTCATTCAAAGTGTGAGAGCTCTAAAAGCTAAAAATTGGCCTGAGCATGAAGGGGGTAAAAGTACCAAGTAGGCAAGTGATTAAGGGTCGTTGTGGTTATTTGTCAATTAATCAATCAAGAGTTAATAAAGGACACCTGGTTAGCAGAGTAAACTTTTCACATCAGAGTCAGGCTTGCAAGAGGGTCCAGTTGTAAAGATAACATGAGTCCATAAATGAAGACACTAATGAACAACGTAAACATCACAATAATGTGGACAGGGTTACAGATGGTGAAAGCAGCAACATACCAGAGACACACAGACACAATGAAAGCAATCAGTCAGTTTTCTGTTTTGGGTGGAAGTGAAGCAGCAACATACCAGAGGAGTGTAGACACAATGAAAGCAATTGGTTTTCAGTTTTGGGTAGATGTCAAGAAGCAACATATCTGTGGAGGGAGAGAGAAAAGATGTTCAGATGAGACATTCAGGTAAAGTTGAGCTGATGTGCACTCCCTTCAATAAACAACCCACTTATTGAAAGAACCTCAGCCATGTGCCTCGCACTCTCCTGTCCTTGATCACCTCCGAGTCCGACTGTGTTAGAAATTCTTTCCTCTGTTTACATGGTTTCCTAGAAAGCAGATGTCACGTAGCTGGATAGTGAGCCTGAAGTGAAGAGGCAGGCCTATCGTACAACTCCGTACAAGAGCTGCTGATGGTGAGACAGCGGTCGCAGGGGCACGGTGGAGTATGAGTGCCTGTGATCAGTTCGGTAATATTGGATGAGCTGATGAGTTGTAGGCAGGGAGCAGGGTTTTGATGTAGCCGTGCTGCATGGATGGATACCCAAGAGCAGTGTGCTTAGGATGCAGGGTCAAACAAGCCGGGTTCGGTATCGGTCAGGCAGATCAGGCTTAAAGCGGCAGGAGGAAGAGTAGTCGGGTCACAGGGCCAGGTCAGCAATGGAAGATCAATCAGACAGGAGAGGAGACAGAAGAAAAATCCAAGACAAGCCAGAGGTCAGAAACAAGCTGGTTCGGTATCAGGAGACAATCACAGGAATCAGGGAACACGAGCAGGGATAAGACCATACAGCAATGGGACAACTACTGCAGCCAGTTTAAATAGCCCTTTTGGCACCAGCATTAGTGACAGGTGCGCGCCCGTATGCATGAGTGCGCATGCGTGCGCCTATGTCCAAGTGCCTGCACATCTGTTCGGCTTGTAAAGACTCTGTGCATGTGCATGTTTGCACCGTGGAACTTCACCTGCACTATGGGCAGGCCTTTCCTGACATTGCCCCTACCCTATGGGCAGCCTCCGGATGCCCAATTGGCTCCTTTTTTGTGGGTGACTGAGAAAAACTCATAAATTAAGTTCGTAGCATGCACGTTCTGTGCAAGTGTCCATGAATTTTCCTCTGGTCCATACCCCTTCCATTTGATTAGGTATTGCGCCTGGCCCCTCCTTTTCCTACAGTCCACAACAGCCCCTCGACCCTTAAATTCCTCCTCTACATTAATAATTATAGACTCAGGGGGCCTTAACCTTCGATCAGAAAAGGGATCTGGTACTGCAGGTTTTAGTAATGACACGTGAAAAACTGGATTAACTTTAACCACTAGCCTACGGGGCACGTATACCCCCTTCCTGCCCAGGCCAATTTCCAGCTTTCAGCACTGTTGCACTTTTAATGACAATTGCACGGTCATGCAACACTGTACCCATATGAAAATTTTATCATTTTTTTGTGACAGATAGAGCTTTATTTTGGTGGTATTTAATCACCTCTGAGTTTATTTTTTCTTAAACAAACCAAAAACCACTGAAAATTTAGAAAAAAAAAAGTTTTTTCTTAGTTTTTGTTATAACATTTTGTAAATAAGTGATTTTTCTCCTTCACTGATGTGCGCTAATAAGGCTGCAGTGATGGGCACTGATAGGCTGCACTGATGGACACTGATAGGTGGCAGTGATGGGCACTGATGAGGAGTCACTGGTAGGTGGCACTTATGGGCATTGACAGGCATCACTGATGTGCACTGAAAGGCAGCATTCATACATGGCACTGATAGGCGGCACTGATAGGCGACACTGACTGGCACTGATAGGCAGCACTGGCGGGCACTGATAGGCGGCACTGATGCACACTAATAGGCGGCACTGACTGGCACTTATAGGTGGCACTGATTGGCAGCACTGATAGGTGGCACTGACTGGCATTGATAGGTGGCACTGATGGGTGACACTGAAAGGCAGCTCAGATGGGCACTGATATGTGGCACGGATGGGCACTGAAATGTGGCACTGATGGGCACTGGCAGGTGGCATGGATGAGCACTGAGAGCTGGGACTGATGGACACTGACAGGTGGTGCTGCTGGGGCTACACAGATCATCAGGGCACACTGATCATCAGTGCCCTGATGATCTGTGTACATGTCCCCTCTGAGGAATGCTGATTACCAGCTCTCCTCTCCTCACGAGCTGTCAGCTGTGATTGGACACAGCTGATCACATGACCGAGCCGACATCTTCGGCTCTTTCCATGGATCGGTCATCCGCTGTGTCCGAGGGACACAACGCACCACTGATCGCCGTGCTGCGCGCTCCGGGAGCCACGCATGCACAGCTAGAATGGGAGGACGTCATATAACATCCTCCCAGAACGAGAGAACCACCTTGCATCCGTCATATTACTATATGGTGGGCGGGAGGCGGTTAAGGGATTTCGGTAATGCTAGTTCGTAAGAAACATCATTAATTTTGCGTCTTACCAGAAATGGTCCCACAAATTTAGGTGCCAGCTTCCTTGAAGGACATGCCATTTTCAGGTTGGTTGTGGCAAGCCAGACCTGGTCTCCTGGGTGCAGGATCGGTTCTCCCGTTCTCCTTTTATCGAAAACCTTTTTGTTGTCCCCCTGGGCTTTTGTGACAGTCTCCTGTAACAATTTTATTGTAAGTAAAAAAAAAACTTAGTATATCTTGAGCAGCAGGGACAGAAGTTTCTGGCACAAGGTCAGGTAGAAAGGTAGGGTGAAACCCATAATTAGCAAAAAATGGAGATTGTTTGGTGGCAGAATGGCTGAAGTTATTGTACGCAAACTCTGTCAGTGGCAGGAGCAACACCGAATCGTCTTGGACAAAAGAAGTATAACACCGGATGTACTGCTCCAACGTCTAATTAGTCCGTTCAGTCTGTCCATTGGTTTGTGGGTGATAGGCTGAAGAAAAAGACAGTTCGATTTTTAAGGTTTCACATAGTGCCCTCCAGAATCTCGATGTGAACTGCACCCCTTGGTCTGAAACAATGTTTACGGGAATTCCATGAAGCCTGACAATTTCTTTAATAAAGACCCGAGCAGTTTCAAAAGCGGAGGGTGTATTTTTCAGGGGCAAAAAATGGGCCATCTTTGATAGTCGGTCTACTACCATGAAGATGGTGGTACATCCTTCTGAAGGTGGGAGCTCCACTACAAAATCCATCGATATCATCTTCCATGGTCTGTCAGGTACAGGCAGAGGTCTGAGCAATCCCCAGGCTTTATTTCGGGTACTCTTATTTTGGGTACAGATGGTGCATGCATTTACATAAGCTTTACAGTCTTTTCCCATATCTGGCCACCAGAATGTGCGTTGTGCAAGCTCTATTGTCTTGGAGACCCCAAAGTGACCCACTAAAGGGTGGTCATGGCAATACCCAAGGACAAGGGTCCGCATTTCTTTGAATACCAAAATGTGTTCACCTCTCCATAGAAGTCCATCCTTGCTTTGTACTGTAACTCCGAGTGGGCTGGATGCTCCTACCGATGCCTGCTGTAGTTGGGATAATAGGCTGCTCTGTAGTAGCAGAAAGCTCCCTGCTGGCAAGATGGTGTCCTTATTCGGGTTTCCTTTGGATGCTCGAACATGCGTGATAGTGCGTCGGGTTTGGTGTTCTTGGACCCAGGCCTATAGGTAATCTGAAAGGTAAATCTTGAAAAGAATAATGCCCCTCGGGCCTGACGTGATTTAAGGCATTTAACAGTCCTTAACTACTCAAGATTTTTGTGATCAGTATATATTTAAATCAGATGTGTGGCTCCTTCTAGCAGGTATCTCCATTCTTTCAGGGCTACTTTAATTGCCAGAAGCTCCCGGTCCCCTGCGTCGTATTTCCTTTCAGCTGAAAAGAGAGCTTCCGTGAGAATAATGCTACTGGATGCATTAATTCCTTGAGTCCTTTCCATTGGGAAAGAACTGCCCCAACTGCGTTTTCTGGCAGTGTAGAGTCTGGATGGCTTAGAATAGGAGCAGCTATGAATAGTTCCTTCAGGGTTTCGAAGGCAGCCTGTGCTTCAGGGGTCCAGTGGAAACAGACCCCTAGTTTGGTGAGCTGGGTAATGGGTGAGATGAGGGTTGAGAAGTTTTTAATTAATTTTCAGTAAAAGTTGGTGAAGCCTATGAACCGTTGGATTCCATTTTTATCTGAGGGGACTGGCCAGTCCAGCATTGCTGTGACATTTTGTGGATCCATTTTAATTCCAGCTGTGGAAATTTTTCTGCCCTCACTATTTGTTCTGCCCTCACTATACGTGGTGGGGGTATAATTAGACAGACAGATAACCCTTCTTCCTTAACAACTCATTGATGCAGGAGCTAGGTCCTCTTTTCAGCTTTTATTGCAGGGAAGTTAGAGTAAAACTACAAATGAAAGAAATAACATTCAATCAGTATATACAATCTGCAAAATATACAGTCCTGACACACTAGTCTAGCTAGAAAGGGGTTTTTTAAACATATCGGCGATGTTTCCGATAGGCTGACAACAGAACTGCAGCTGAATAATTATAGAGTCCTCTGGAGGAGATGTAAGATGGCTGCTAGGAAATGTCTCTAAGACCTCATGGTGAAGACAATAGGATGATGGGAAAACTACAGTGGTTTTTAAGCAACAAAATGTGTAACTACAGAAAACTAATCTATAAAACTGTAATACAAAAGAGCCACTAGATGGCGATATTACACTTTACCTTACATTCCATAGCATAATAAACTAACAATGGACATAACATAAAAATATGCTGAAGGCATGACGCTCCCCGCCTGGTATCCCATGGATACCAACTATGATGGTCCTTCTGGGGAGAGTAGTACAATTAGGTCAGACACAGGTCTGAGGAAAAGTTTAGACTCATCTTGCCTAATGACCTTAACCTCAACTTTCCTGACTTTCCCATCTTCACTTGGAAACACTTGGGTTATCATGCCCAAAGTCCATTTCTTTCTCCTTGACTGAGAGTCTTTCATGAGAGCAATGGTGCCAGGTTCCAAGTTGGGCTTGCTGACTTTCCATTTGTGTCTGATCTGTAGACTGGATAGGTAATGCTTTCTTCATTTATTCCAGAAGATGTCCACCATGGCTTGCACTCGTCTCCACTGGCATCTGTATAGGTCTTTAGTGTCAAGGCCGATTGCAGGAGCTGTGGTTACTCCAACTTTCTGGGTAAGCAAAGTGGAAGGGGTAAGCAAAAAAGGATCTTCTGGGTCACTGGGTATTGACGTCAGGGGTCTGGAATTTATTATAGCCACTATTTTAGCCATGAAGGTCATCAGTGTCTCATGTGTGAGCCTTGAAGTTCCTAACTGTAGAAAATTTGAGTCTAGGATTCTTCTAGCTATGCCGATCCTGCGCTCCCAAGCATCTCCCATATGGGAAGCATGTGGTGGGTTAAATGTCCATATACAACCTTGTTCTGAAAGGGATCTCTCTACACGTTCTTTGTCAAGGTTTGAAATGATATTCAGGCATTCTAGTGTTAGTGCATAAGTCTCTTGTTGGACACAATGGATGATAAAAATTTTTAGCCCGTGTGAGCTCATCCACTGTGTATGCCTTGCAACAGTAATGCCAACCTTTCAATGTCTTGATCATGTAGGTGTGGCTTTAAAAGATCTGGCAATGTGAATTAAGCAAGCTATAGCTCTGCATAGAGATTTCCAAGTGGTGAATCTATGAAAGCGCTATGAAAGTTAGAAACTGTTGCGTGTAGTGTTAAGACCCAAGGGCGGATTTCTGCATCAAATTCAGCCTCCAACAGTACTTTTGTGCCCTTTTCAGGATTGCTTGGCGCTGGCTTGTACAGGAAGGGTGGTCCTGTGAGCCATGTAGTATCTCTAAAGCGGTATGCTACCCCTTGTAGCATGATCTGCTGGGTTATGATCATTTGATACATAATGCCACTGGGTAGGCTGTGTAGACTTCCTAATCCTCAGGACTCTGTTATGTACAGTACATAGACATAGAATCTCCTGCTCTCATTGTAAATGTAACCCAGCACTACCTTGCTGTCTGTATAAAACTCTGTGTCTTCAAGTTCTACATCTATTTCAGACATAATCAGTTCTGTTAGCTCCACTGCTAGAACAGCAGCACAAAGTTCTAATCTTGGAATGGTGGTTTTCCGGACATGGTGCTAGCTTGGTATTACCCATTACAAATCCAATATGGACTTGACCCTTGGGGGTTTATTTACTAAAGCTGGAGAGTCCAAAATCAGACTCCCTTCTGCATAGAAACCAATCAGCTTCTAACCTCAGCTTGTTCAATGAAGCTTTGGCAATGAAACCTGGACGCTGATTGGTTTCTATGCAGAAGGGAGTCTGATTTTGGACTCTCCAGCTTTAGTAAATAAACCCCTTGATGTCCACTGACTTAAGGTAGGCTACTGTGGCTATTGCTTTTACTGAAGCATCACAGAATACACATAGATTTCTAGATTGAACTTCTTCAGGGAAAATGTGAGCATATGGCCTATGTATGTGTAGGCTAAATAATGCCTTTAAAGAGTCTCTCCATGCTACCCATAATGTCTCTTTCTCTGGAGGAAGTGGAGAATCCCAATCACATGTCTGCAGCAAGCTCTCTGAGCAGAATCTTACCATGGATGGTCACATGTGCTGCAAACCCGGGAGGGTCATACAGACTGTTTATGGTAGACAAGACACCTCGCCGTGTGAAAGGCTTTGGCTCCTGGTTGACCTGGAAGGTGAGGGTGTCATACTTGAGATCCCAATTGAGTCCTAGGCTGCGCTGCATGGGTAGCAAGTCTGTTGCCAAGTCTAGGTCTTTCAAATCACTGGCGTGATCTTGGAAAGGGAAGGCTTCCATAACAGCCTTGCTGTTTGAAGCTATCTTATGTAACCTAAGGTTTGAACAGGCAAGTGTGCTTTGGGTCCTCTTAAGTAGACTGATTGGTGCCTCAGGCGATGGAAGTGACTTCAGGCCATCATCTACATAAAAGTCTCTCTCAATGAACTGTCTAACATCTTGCCCATAGTCTTTTTTTCACCGTCCTGGGCAGATAGCTTAAGTCCATAGCTTGCAACAGCAGGCAATGGGCTGTTGCCAAAAACGTGCACTTTCATGCGGTATTCTATAATGTCTTTAGTGGGGTTGCTATCCCTAAACCAGAAGAATCTCAGAAAGTTCCTGTGTTCTTCCTTGACTTGAAAGCTGTGAAACATTTGTTGTATGTCAGCAACTATGGCAATGGTTTCCTTGCGGAATCTGATGAGAACGCAAAAGAAGTGTGTTGTTGAGATCTGGTCCTTTTAAGAGGACGTTGTTGAGAGAGATTCCTTCATACTGGGAGCTGGAGTCAAATA